GTTACATCGGGGAGGTGAGGTGCTCCGGTGTGTTCTACAGGCGTGAGTTGACACATGGCACAACGGTCTGCGACACAACAGATACCTGTTCCACTTAACATAGTCAGAAATCCCCTTTTCCCATGGTAAACTCTCTCGAGCTTCCTTTTTTATTCTTCACACGACTACTTCTGTCACTTTTTGTGTAACATAATGAAATGTATGTAGCATGGACAAAGAACACTGGTTTCCCACAATGCATTGCAAACAGGACAAATGTGGGCAGTAATGAGATGGCTACCGGAACATTTTGAAGCATTGAACCAAACATTTGTCTCTCTCTTTGCTAAGTTTCACATCAGTAGCAGCTTTGCATAGTAGCAGTTTGATTGACACAGGTCTTGTATCATTTCCCGCATTGTGTATACTTGCACTACCGGTGTAGTGTGTATTCTGGACACAGCTCAGGCATCAAAGGTGGTGTAACAATTCTTGAGCCTGTACCGTAACCGACAAAGGTCACTGGTTGCAATCCGCCTTGCATCCTGTCAGAGTGTGACTCAGAAAGACTCTTGAGTCTGACGTTTCTCTACCTGCATACTCACTTTCCTACTCGCTTGCCAGTCGTCTGCCAGCTAAATGCCTGAAATATAAAAATGTAGTGTGACCGGGGCGAAAGGCCAAATGGAAGTGCCAGCTTAGCAGAGATATAAACTGTCCCATGTGGCTCCGTGCTGAGTGATGCGGTGACAAATGTGACAGGGGGGTAAGATGGGGCACAAAAGGGACGATGACACAAGCAGCAAAGCATGAGGGCACTAAATATCACTGGACTGTGTGTGTGTGTGCGTGTGTGTGTGTGTGTGTGTTTATGTGTGTGTGTTTATGTGTGTGTGTAGAAAGAGAGAGAGAGAGAGAGAGAGAGAGAGAGAGAGAAGGGTGATAGTTAGGGATGCCTACCTCTCTCGCCGATCACATGCCTTCGTGGTGAGATTGACCTGTGTGGATTGCTGACATGGGAGGTGTGTGTCAATGTGAGAGGAGATGTAACATGCAGACAGGTGCACACTGGTGTAATTAATCATCATCTGAGTATCACGGTGGTGCGCTGCATACTCCTCTCAAATTCAACCTCTTCATGTGGGATTTTTTTTAATCTCCTGTTAGCGCGTCTTTCTATGTTCTCACTGCAAATTCAGTGGGCTCCTGATTTTTGCTGTCCCGTGTGACACAGATCAGATTAAAGAGATCGGTTCACCCAAATTTCAAAAAGCACATATTTAACCCTCTTATCCCTTGTGGGATCTAACAGTGCAGATAATTTTATTTGCATGTCCTGGGGTTTGGAGAGCTATGTCTCTAAGATATCTGCTGCCAGTAGAGTTGAAAAACAGGAAGATCCGCTTCTTCCAGAAGCATTTTTCCCCATTTTAAATTCTAAATTCATTTCAAAGTTTTCTTTGAATAATAATAGAAACGCAAAAGGCTCTTATGGGTTTATGTTTATGGACATAAGATTGAATGTTTTTTTGTTTCCAATAATGTCTTTGGTTAGCTTGGCATGTCTCTTGTCACGAGGAAGAAGACGCCAGTCTGAGAAGTAAATCAGGGCCGCAGCATATTCAGAATATTCAAATGGTTTAAACTGAAAACAAAACACCACACCATAGCCGCTGAATTCATTCAAAATTGTCCCAGAATCTGAATGTGAACTGATTCAAATTGCTGAATGTTTATCAGGTTTCTAAAAAGTGGCATCTGTAGTTTCAACTGGCTGTTACTGGAGCACCCAACAGAATTATAAACAAAACAATATTAATCAAACAATATGGATATTTCTTACCAAAATGCTACATAAAGTTTTTATGTACACAGGCACCTTTGACTTTTTATAAATGTTCTTCTTTTGTATTTATGATTCAGCCATGCCATGAAGTGCTCAAACCGCCAGCAACTTAACATTGTCTATGCCCAAAATAACTCTCACTCTTCGCTACTCAGAGCAATGGAGGTGAATGACATTTTATAACAATATCTGTCCTTTTCTTTTCAACATTTGGCAGAAAATACTAGTGAAAGCTGCTGATATTAAGGTTTAGAGATTACACTCAGCAACAAGGATATTGTTTTGTGGGGGAATAAACATTGTTGTTGAGCTTTACAAAGTCATTCTGTTCATTTAATGAATACATAAAAATCTAATTCACCTTCATTATATCGGATCTTTTCACGTGTGATATAATTTTGATGAATAAAACCGAAACTGTCTGCATGACAAGAAACCACCATTGGTAAGGTTATTTTTTAAAGTTGTGATACCTGAGTGAGCTGAATCTTTAACTTCACTCATTAATCCATCCCAAAAAACTGAAGCTGCATTTAGTTCAGCATTTATATTCACATTTTCCGGTGATGGTCATTTTTGGGATACTGGTTTGTTATCAAGATTAAACATGAAAATTCAGTCTTTTTATGTAGATTTCAACATGGATTATTTTACTAATCCAGAAAAATATTACTGATAAATCCTAGTTTTTATCAGCAGTTTGAGAGTTAGTTTGCTCAGCTGTCAGGAAGAATGATCTGTTGACATGCAAGCTCAGTAGCCATTATGCTTTCATTTCATCCACAGAATACAGTGTGATAGGACTGAAAGCTCTGCAAAAAGCTTGAAGGTAGAACCTGAGTTGGGATATCTTATCAGGATTTGTCATATTCAAATGTTAGTGAATAGGGTCTGCAAATTGAGTAACCACAGCTTTAAATTACCTTTCAAAGCCCTGACTGATGAAATAAGCTAAGGGACTATGGCTGTGGCCTGTGACCTTACTCTTGGTTGCTTTTGATAGATTAGATGATTGATTTATTTTTGAAGTCCACTTTAAACTCTAAATGTTTAAATTTCAGTGTCTCGGGAGTTTAGATATAAGTTTACATTCACTTTATATAATTAATTCTGTTAGCCACATGATGATCCTGATGAAATTTATAAAAATGGACCTCTGACATTTTATAATATTATAAAGCCTTGTTTTCATTACATAATATGTTTTTAAACTGTAACATCCTCCTACCTGCTAAACATTTCCACCTCAGACAAACAGTGGGCACTCAGTGATCGCTTCTTTTGTGTAGTTTACATGTTGACCACTTGATGGCAGTGTTGATCTATTTTCAACATTTCGGTTTTGGTTTCTGTCCTGAAATGTTCCCCACCCGGTCGAATTGTGTTGTGTTTTGTGTTGTTTGCTATTATATTTATATTATCAGCAGTAAATGGTCACTATTGACCCAGACACCCGCACACCTTTAGTAGTCTGTGTTGTTTATTAAAAAAAAAACTTCTACTCTCTCGTGATATTCATTTGAAAGCTTTTACCAATGACGGTCACAGACAGCTGCTAGATTGCTCATATTTATATACCACCGCTTCTATACAGGCGATGCAGCTCGTCCTCACTACAGCTTAGAGGAGTTTGTGAAGCATTTAAAAAAAAATACAAAACTACATTAATCAATTCATTTCTCAGAAACTCGTGCAGATCAGCGTTTTGTCTGTAATTTTAAGATCACTATGCTTTTTCTACAAGGGGACATTAATTTAATATACGACTTTAAATAAATCCCAAAATACAGAAGTGCAGTAGCCTATGTGTTTTATTCTTTGAAGAAAACCACCACTGGCGTGTATCATGCATTCTCACTGATAAGCCGGTCATCTTTTCTATTTTTTTTTTTCCGCAGCAGAAACTGAAGATCCTTGCGAATTAAAAATCATTCTGTCGTGTTTTTTTCCGAAAAATACAGTTTCATGTATTTTAAACATGAAACCCTATGAAACATTAAATTCGCAGGTATGGGAATGTTATATTTTTTTACCCTAATAACTGAATCGACCTCTGAGGGAAAACTTCACTAGCGCAGGGATTAATGTGGTCGACGTTCAATAAAGACGTCTGTCAATAATAGTAGCAATAATAATAATAATAATAATAACAATAGGCCTCTATAATAAGCGGTGACATCCACTGTTCATGCAAGTGTTTTAGGAAATTAACATACTTGGAAACATTAACCATATTTACTATATTCAGTTTTTACATTTTGAATTGGATTTATTCTTATTTGGACTTTATATGCAATGTTCTTATTGTATTGTAAGACTGATTGGCACTGGTTGGCACAGTATGGAATGTAATTTTTTAAACAAAAATTAACCAAATTAAAACATAAAATTAGTTCAAATAAAATGTGATATTCTGGCTTTATACACATTTTAAATAAATAAAAATGTAATGTTGATCTTGTTTTGTAAATGCAAAATGAAGACTAATGGTAAGCTACTGATAATCAAGAAATTATATATATATATATCATCTGCAGTTAAATAAAATACAGAAAGGCCACAGTTGAAAATAAAGCTATTTTATTGTCAATGCATTCAACATGATTAGATAAACTATCAAGTAGTAAATTTCCGCAAAAGGAAGAAACACTGAAACTATTCCCCACCGACACAAAATATTACACTTTGTATTTCAAATAAAACAAATTATTTACATTGTAATGTATAGACTGTATCTTAAAGTAATATTTAATAATACATGCACTCTGAAATATAGTCTGACATAATATCCCCAATTTATGTCCATATTCATCGCAGACATGAAAAAACTTGCTGTGTTGTAAACCATGACGTGTGACTACATTGGTATTTCTTCTTTATATTTGCATTTATATGATATAAAATCCAACTTACTGTACATTTACACATATTTAAATCATCCCTTATTCTCAAACTTTTAAGTGCTTCATAAATAGATTCAGTTTCATTGAAGTTGAAACGCATTTGCATACACCCAAAACATGACATTTTGTACAGGGGAGAAAGAGGAAACAGACCGAAAAGGAATTAGAAGATCATAGTTCAAAGTGAAAACAAGTGCAAGGGGTGTTTGTGTATTTTAAGTGGCCTATTTCCATTCAGACTGCTTAAATCCAGGCAGGGTCATAGTCCCTCCTTGTAAAAAAAAAAAGTCCCTCCCTTGTTAGTCTTTAAAAGTCAGTTATGGGAGGTCATGTGACGTGACAGGTGATGCCTCTCCCGGAAGGACTCGTTGCAAATGGGGCACTTGAGTTTCTCCTCGCGCCGCCGCTTTACCAGAGGCTCCATGGCGTACTCCTTTTTGTGGTGGGATCGCATGTGGTAAACCAAGTCCGAGGTCATGCGGAAGGAGGCGTTACACTTGGCGCACCAATTCTGCGCCGGAAGGCAGAGGGAGGTGAAGGAGGGCGGCAAGAGGGTGAGCGCCGAGGGCATCTGAAGCTGGATAGGCCCGGAGTTCTTGGGCCAGAAGGCGGTGGCATACACAAAGGGGCTCTGCTTGGCCATGCCGCCTGGCACGGGGCAGTTGGCGCCCAGTTCTGCGCCCTGTAGTTTGGCGGCAAGGTGGTCGGCCTGGTAGAGTCTGCTGGAGGAGATGGTGTCGCCCACCGCTGGGTGGCAGTCCAGCAGCTTGGGCGGCATCACCAGCGGTGAGATCTGAGAGAAGGAGGAGCGAGATGGCTGGCTGAAGGCGCTCTTCCTCTCTCCACCGCTGCCGCCACCTTGCTGGCTAACAGAGGTGAAAGCGCTGCCCATGGGTGAGGTTTGTGGCGGCTGGGTCTCTGACAGCACCTGTCTGATGTTGAGGTGCTTGTCTGATGGATTGCTGCTTGGACGACCGCCATCTTTGTTTTCAGAGTTGGAGCTTTGGAGGTTTTTGTTGCCGGTATGGTGTTTGAGGTTCTGGGGTGACTTCTTTACCTCGGTGAAGGCGCTGCGCTTGACCTCACCAAGCTGTGTGGAGCCCGGCGGGGAGAAGGCCCTGTGGTTCTCCTCCAGGCCGTACACTCCTCTGTAGTTCTGTGCAGACGTTGCAAGCTCGTCTTTAGACTTGGATTGTGGAAGGCTGGGCCCTCGGCACTCCCTGTCCTCTATTTCCGAGAACTTCCTCTTCCCCGAGCTCTCGCTGCAGATCTCTGCCTCCTTGTCGCTCGGCGGGCTGGTCCGGTTGTTCTCTAGATCCCTGGCCAGGTTATGAAAGTCTGTGGAGGGTTTGTTGCTGTCCTGAGGGCTGCTGAAGCCCTCGGAGCGGCCGAGCTTTGGGCTGGTCCTGGTTGGGGTGGTGTTTGGTCGTTCAGTGCTGCTCTCTTTGCCGGGCTCCTCGTCGGCCCCTGTGATGCTCTGCAATCTTTTGGTGCAACGGAACCGGAGATGGGCCAAGAATGGAAACTCAAACTGGAACCTCTGGCTGCAGTCAGGACATGAATGGTGGGACGAGCCTGGGAAGAAGACAGACAGAAATTAATTGTGACATAAAGAGACTATCTTGAAACAGTCCAGTTTAAGTCTGGTTTCTTATAATAATGCAAGAATTATTAGCTTTGTACTGGATTCTGAATAAATGTGAATTTCATTAAATTTATACAATGTCCAAAATTGGGCAACAATACAAGACCTCCTAAATTTACCAATGATGAAAACTATTCAAGTGAGAATGTATTTCAAAAGAAGCTGCCGAGGTAATATGTATGTCATTGTGAAGTTAAATAAAGACCAATGATAATGTGATTATTATGGTGATTGATACAGAGACTCAACTTGGGCAGTTTACTGTCCAGAGAGGACATGATTTCAGTTGACTCACCTTTGCTCTTGGCGGGCGCTCTGCTGGAGCTGAGCAGGAGCAGGTCAATGAGGTCTTTGCCGTACCAGACCAGCAGCTCCTCGTCCTTCTCGATCCGGCGGAGCGAGCGGTAGAAGAGCTGGCCGTTCTTCACGTAGGCCTCTAGATTCTGTTCCTCTTTGTCCCGAGCGGACTGCACCAGCCGCAGCCACATCAAGCCCTCTGAGGTGCTGTTGGCCGCTGATGTGTCCACCTGTACAACACATACCACACTAGTTATTGCATCAGGTAAACATTCTGCCTAATTAAAAAAAAAATTATAAATGAAAATACTGCAAATAAGGACATGATTTTACACAACCACTCTAGACAAATATTTATTTATGTTCACAAGTGTTCACATCTTGAAACAAGGCAGTAAGACACATTTCACTATTATGGACAATGTGAAGCAACTGTTAAATAGATTTTCACTTCAACAAAATGTGGACTGTGCATATTCTTCCCTTCTTGTAGAAATATATTTTCGTGGATTTTCGTGGCTCTGAAGGATCCAGTGACTTGTTTAGGTGAGATTTTGTTGCAGCCTAGAGTTCAGGGCTTTTAAAATTTAAATGCACAGATCTACCAACATGTATTGTTATAGTATGTTTGCTCATTTTTGGGAATATGTCTTTAATTTTCAGCTCCTTGCTTCAGTGTTGCTGTGCAAAATAGGACAAGGGCCTAAATCTGTGATAATATATTTGCTGTATCTGGAGCTGCTCAGCAAGAAAAGCAAAATGATGGAGATTTTCACAGGCCTGTTAAAATGCTAACTGGGACAATTTGTCTTTTAAATTAAATAGAAAAATAGTGGGCTAATTAAAAAAAATTCTAAATATATATTCTGGGGCACTTTTAATAGCCTACAATAAAAGAACATTTAACATAAAGATCCTCTTACCCTGAATATATAAGGTGCGGTGCGTTTGTCGGTGGATTTCAGAGCTATGAAGGCGATGCTGTCATACAGCGACGTGTGGCTCAACACACAAGGCCCGAAAATGGCGTTTTCTGGGATGTCACACGTCGTGTAGACGCTGGTAAAAATGTCCGTCAGACACTGCTGGACTGCTTTGGCGTCCCCATCCCACACCAACTTCTGAGAGCTGGACTCCTCCATTTCACACTGCAGAGACAGGGGAAGACCAGAGACATGAGTCAAGCAGTCGGGAAACAACAAAAAATCCAAATAATTATATCTGTTTTATAATAATAATCTGTTTTTTTGTCCCAATACTTTATTCCCTCTAAATTTGAATCAGCGCCATAAATTTAAATCTAAAGTTGTGTAAAGTGGTTGTTTAGGGGGTTTAGCCTCCACTGTCACTGCTGATAGAAAATAAATCTCTTCCTAGACAGATTGGCTAAACCAGCTGTCAAGGGCGTCATTTGGGGGCCCATTCTCTCTTTCTTTTTTTTGGCCAGCATTCTAATTAATTCAAACCCCGTAATAAGTTCATGACGGCATCACCTTCAGCATCTTAATGATATGCTTTCCCAACATTGTCAATTATATAAGAACAAGAACATTTAGCCAAAATAAAAAAGACGAAATATAATAGGCTAATGCTGTATAATAATAATAATAATAATAATAATAATAATAAATAATAATAATAATAATAATAATATCGGATTATGTCATATATTTGATGAAAATATAATAATATCAAAAACTGTATTTTTTTCATTAATATTAGATGGTTAGACGGTTGATTACCATATAATTAGCTTGTATTTTTCATTATTGTACTGAGTATTGGCACTAGTATTAATATTATTAATAATATTAGCATTAGTAGGCCTATACGGGCTCCACTTGCTCTTGTCTGTTCAGCTGTAATTATTATGATTGGCGGCATTCAGAACGAAAAAAATCCATAATATTGTGGTCTCCGAGAGCTATTTACTTTAGCTTTATCGTGCTTTAGGGTATGTTTTATTATTGTATCTTCTATCATTTTAATAGGCTATTACTCTTATATTAAGGGTTTATGGGTTTGCTGTGACATGTTCATTTGTCTAAAATCGTATTATAGAATTACTACAGGAGCTTTATTCTTTTTTGGGGGGGTGGGGTGGTGGGGGAGAATTTAAGAAACCCTCTCAGGAGGAGCTGCTGAGGTCCGTGCATGTCCAATGGAGAGAGCATGTCCAATTGGTTTCAAGCGGACTGTCAAAGTCAGTGATTTCATGTCAACCAACCATTCTCTCCTTTCTACAAGCGGCAGCGTATGCCGCCTCATTACCATAATCCACCACGTTCCCCTCTGAGACTGTAATTAAAGCAGCACGACCAGTTAATTATTTCTTTTCTCCCTTTTCTAACCTCTGAATGTGTGTGTTTAGACGGCTGCGGCTCTTTCACTCTCCTCCCTGTGCTGTTGAATACAGTAGAAACTGTGCGCAGGAAACCTGCACCTGATACACTTGTTCGGCCGTAAATGAGGCTCACAGGACAGTCGTATAACATAAAAATAATAGAGAATAACAATAATGACCAGAAGGCTCTGCTGTAAATGCGAAGAAAACGCATTCCTTAAAAAAGTCATTCCTAAATAGCTGAAATAATCATATTCTAGTCTGTGGGGTAAATTATTGTGGCACCAAATGTTTTTGACATTGAACATTACGAAATAATAAATCACAACTCTTTACTGTTGCTTTTGGGGCCTATTGTGCGAGTTTTGTGTATTATTTCAGCCGCCGCACTATTTTTCTGATAATTTTAAATTTAAAGTTAAATTCTGCTACAGTTTAAATATAACATTTATTAACCTAAATCGACGAACCACTCAAAGAACTTCTACCGTGACACAGCTTGTGCAATATAAAGTAACAAAGTAATTGGAAAAATAAATTAAACTAAAGAAATCCACAGTCGGGTCAACAGTTTGTTCCTTTCTGCGCAAAAATCGCGAAGCAACCTGCAATTTGCGCATCTGAACCAATTCAGAAATAAATGCACTCATATTAACAACTGCACTCATGACAAGTAGGCTAGTAGGAACAGATGAGCAGCCTTCTTCCATCTAATATCGGCTGTTGCTGAGTGGCTGCACGCGCAGGAAAAGCGAGGCTCTCCTTTGCTTCTGGTTCTGTTTTTCCTTTCTGATTTTTTAAATACAAAAGAGGGGAATCTGATTAAATAACCAGAGACGCTCATTAATAAAAGTCTTCTTGTTCAATCCCACTGAATTGGAGCATTGCATACCTCCATAAGAAGCTCTACAGCAACAGAAAGCTTCTGTGCAACATTTTGCGCACGGTGCAACAGAGAGCCTTTCCAAAGTGGCTCTTTGCGCTGCCAGGCTAAAGAATTCGTTTCCGGTACCTTACAGAATTATGTTCGGATGATCACAAACTGTCGCTTCACATGGAAGAAAAACACAAAAACTATTAGACGAATGATGTGTATCACGGCCAGGCTCAAATAGGAGATAAGAGATAGGCTAAAGAGCGGAATGTTTGCACATCCATAAACTGGGGGAAAGCAGCCTTCCTCTCATGCAAACCCACTGCGGGTGAGGTAGGGGCGAGAAGAGACGGGGGGTGGGGGGGTGTTTAACCCATCTGCTAAAGCCGTGCCAGCCGGAAAACTGTCCTAAATCAGCGCTGTGACTGAATTGCGGGGTTTGAGCGCGGCGCTGAAACATCTGCGTTTGGCTTAATTTATTTATTTTCATCTCTCTGCGCCGCTTTCAGCGCCTGCAGGATTTGTGGCTGCATGTGCCGCGCAAAACAAACCCAGAAACCGTCCCCTCGCCTCCTCTGAAACTATCCAAACCACACACAGCTTTGCATTGCACAAACCTACCTTTCCGTCGATGAGGAGGAACAATAATCCACAAACGAATTGCGAGCGATGCTGCGAATCAAAACCCGTGTGCACCCCCGGCTAAAAATAAGGGGAAAAGCCCGAAAACAAGCAGGGGGATGCGGTGACGGTGATGGAGGTGATGGAGATGGTGATGCGCTCCCGGTCTGGTCCGTTGTGTCAGTACATTTCCCCCCTGGTGTGGTGAAAGTGACAGTGCTGCTGCAGATTCTCGCCGACACTGGAAGTGACCGGGCGGGGTAGAGAGAGCTGGACGGATAAAGGGAGACAGAGAGAGAGAGTTGAGTGCAGATGGGGCCCGATGCTCTGGCTGACTGGCACACCGACACACACTTTTTGTTTGCGGCACATAATCTACCCAATGAGGCGTGTCACTCTCCGTCTCCTCCCTTTAACTCTTCACTGGCCGACTGTCATTTGATGCGATTTATGGACGAGCAGAGGGATAAAGCCCCCCCCCCCCCCCCCCCCGCCCCAACCCACTCCTATTGTTATTGTAATTCTAATCACCATAGTTGGTGGTTGTATTTAGAATAAAGTGGCATTTAAGGAGTCAGATTGTGGAGAAAAGTGAGAATTTTTAGTGGATTTTCAGCTGGATGAGAGTCAAAACACACCAATGTCCCCACGTCATTATTAGCGTATTATTATAACTACTATACTATTATTATTGTTTGTCATAAAGCTTCACTTTAAACTCCCCAAAGTTGGGGTGACACTCAAGATGTATTTAAATGTATGTTAATTAAATGGACTTCCTTTGTGGCTTCAACCTGCACTTGAAGTAGCTACTTTTTGGACTGGGACATGCTGGAGGCTCCCTCCGGTGCCTCCCCGCCGTGCCAGCCGGCTTTCTATGCGGCCAGAGACGCTCTGCTTCCAGGGTAGTCTCACCGCCGCCGCCGCCGCTGCTGCTGCTGCTGTATGTACTGTGTCCAGGCTCATTTAGGGGGCGCCAGTGGATAATTTGCACTGAGTGAGAGGCTGAAATTTTGATGGAAAGCCTCAGGTCAGGTGCAGGACTGATGTTTGGACTTTTTGCTACTACAACTACTTTTGTCTTCACAAGGAGGCATACTGAAATGTAGCTAAAAGAAGGTAATATAATACCTGCTTAATTATCATAATTGTGATCTTTTAATTATTAACTTTCATGTATCCGGATGGTAACTTAGATGATTTTAAGACTAAAAATAACGATTTTAAAGATGTTAGCAAGTAGCTACTCTCAAAAAGGGTGCTGTTAAATTGGAATGAGAACACCTTTAGCTCCCTATGGATATGGTTACTAACCACAAACTTGTTTTGAGTCAATTTACAATAGGACATATTTGCACCTTTTTTTAAGTTATGCATTCTTTATACATGCAATTGTGGGCAAATGATTACCAGGTCTTTTGATGTAAAAAAATCAAAAAATCAAAAAAATCAATGATATTATCAATATGATGTCCCCAATCTCAAATTGCCTAACCACCTTCCTGCGTTAGTTCAGATTGAGCTTTTTATTTCTAAAAAGTTTCGATTTTTGACAAATGAACTGCCAGGAAAAGCAAAACACACAAGAAAAGACTTCTAAATAATTTTTATCAGTTATTATGTTCAACTAAGCAGCATGTGCCAACATCGGAATGGACTTAATGTGTCAAGTGTGTGAATCTGTGACACAACTATTTCACCACCATTTCTGTCAAATTCTGCAATTCAGAGCCACAAACGGCACTTGTAATTCTTAAGATCGAGAAATCCAGTTTCAAAAGACAGTTGTTAATTTGATAGAAGACTTGTGATCTAATACATGATAAGGGGATGTCAAAGGTCACTGCCAGCTACACAACAGCAATCCTGTAACAGGGATGCAGACAGTGACCTGCTTAAGGGCGTCTCAGAAGGGAAGAAATGAAAGAAAGGAAAGTGGTGTGGGCCTAACTGCTGCCCTTCAAATTACACTCTGTTTCACCACTATCTCTTGATCATGGCTGTAAGTCACTTAGCAGCGACAGATGACACTAGACCTGAGCTCATTAAAAGTCATAAAATGGGGCAGCAGCAGGATACACGAAGTGAAAGTGGTTGGGACGCTCATGGGGCATCAAACAAATCACTTCCTCCTCACTTCCCTCTGCTGAAAGTAAAAACATGCTGAATGATGAACCTTGACACCAAGTGATAGTCCTCAAATGTTAAATTATTTCACAACCTAACCCCCAAAAGACAAAAGTTAAGATAAAATATTTAATATACTGTGTATATTACATTCAGGTTCAGGTCCAGCTGGGCAGATTCACTAAGAGATGTCTTTGTTTTGACACTCTGAAAATGTCTTGTCTGCTTCTTTTGCGTTGCCTTTATTCTGAGACTCCATCCGCAGACAGGGATCCTTAACCTCCCACACTGCCTGGTTGCAAAGAAAAAGACTTTGCAGATTTTGCAGATGCTGCGAGATCACGGAAATACTGGTAAATTTGAGGTGAAGTGCAGATTAGCTGAAGCATCCTGTCATAAAGTGAATGATCAGTAGAGCACCAAACATTTTTGGAGATGGAATACATTCACGCAAACACACTCACAATGCAAACCCATGAATGATGAAAGACAGTTGTCACAGCTTGCTGAGAGCTGCCGGTTTCTGGTCTCGCACAGTGTGTTTGTGAAAGATTGTACACTCTTACTTGTTCAGGGTTTTCATCTAGTTTGGCAAAGTAATTAAAAAAAAAATATGTGCAGGCACGTCCATGCAAAATCAAGGAAGTGGTAAGATGCTTTGTAAAATAATAGTCAAAATCATTGGCTCCTTCTTGTCTGTGAAAATGGTTGAAGAGAAAAAATTGCTACAGAATATTTTTAGTTTTTCCCATTTCAAGGCATTTTCTTGAACACTTCTTGAAAGAATTCTAGAAACCTGATTTTACCAGAAAGAAATGTTCATGCAATGTGAACGCGAAAAAGTGTGAAGTGGAAATACACAGAAAAAGAAATACGTTTTTGATTTAGAGCATTTCTTATTCAAGAACTCAAATTACGGCATAATCAGCTTCCAGTTTTTTTTTTATTCTGATAAATGTAGCCATTTGTGATTATCTGGTCATTATAGATTTTGTATTGAAGTTTTGTTTTTGCCCTGGAATATTGAGAAAGAAGAGGAAAAAAATACAAACTGTGCAGTTTCAACAGACATGTTAAAAATGAGGAGGATAGATGTGTGTGAGAGTGTGTGTTTAGAGAGAGAGAGGGAGTTTCTTATGTTGCTGGGAGGGTTTGTGTGTGTGCGTGTGTATGTGTGTGTATTTAAGTACAGAAATCAGTTGAGGGAGTAGTGTGACTGTGAATCATCTGGATAATCTGACAGCTGTATTGTTTCCTGAACACGACTCCCTTCAGTCCACATTCAGATCTTAGGCCAATTCCAGTCAAAGACTATGAATTCAATACTCATATTTCATTACTGAGGAATTTGTTCAGATAAAGATGGGAAACCGCAAGAGAGAGGGGCAAAGAACGGCAGAGCGATATATAACAGTCAGATGAAGGTTTTAAGTATAAAACAAATTAAATGCCTTCATTGTGATGATTGAGAATTATTGGATGGAGAGTTTAAAAGAGAAATACTCAAACCATGGAAAGCGACACGTCTAACTGTTTGCACACAGCTTTCATTAGCTGTACCCACACCTTAATCTTAGCTAGATGCTAATGGTACTGCTACCATTTGGATGTTGGCATGTACATGTTAAGAATTACTGGATGATAAAAAAAAGTGGGTATTTAGCTTGTAGTGACTAGCATTTTAGCAGGATAACATCTGGTAGATAACATTAATTTTAAAGTAACATTTTAACACGTTACAATTTAGAATATTAGTGTGAAAGTTTGCACGCTCATATTAGCATTACCATTTGAATGGTAGCATGTTAAGGATGTACAAGGTAATAATTCCATCTTGAATCAGTCCCTGATATCTACAGCTTAGACCTCTAAACCGCTGCCCACATCTCCAGTTTTTTCATTGATTCAGGTCTAGTGTCCTGTCTGTTCTCTAAGGTGGAGAAAGAAGAAAGAATCGAGCCAATAAGAGACCTGCAGGATAAAGAATGTGAACATCGTCGTCCTGTGCCAGAGCTCAAATTAATAAACAATTGCCAAGAACATTGCCTTAAGTGTGCTTGAGATCAATATTGTACTTCACAAATTACCTCCAGGGGTGATGTTCAGTGCCACTGCCGGAAGTAGCGCTCCCTTTATTTAGCGTGGCAAAAAGTAAGGGTGTGGATGGACACGTAGCACGTGTGATTTTCATGCATCCTGCTATTCATTTTCACCTTCTGAACCTTCATGCAGTGATTTAGTTGTCTAACCCATACCATAACCATAAAGATTGTCGCGAATTTGCATCACACCTCTTCCTTTCAGACTGCAAGCCAAGATAGCGCATGGATTCCCCCAATGCCTGTTTGTGTATATTCGATACGTACCTAGGAACCTTTTGCAAGCACTGGTTTCTCATTTATGCCTGTTGTCGCTAATTTGCATCATACCTACATCATACCTGAATTTATATATTTTCTCTGTTCTATAGACAGAATTATCAATTTTCACTTAACTTACATCAGCTTGAAAGCAAATGAAAACACGAATCTTTTTTTTTTTAATTGTAAAAAAATTCAGGCGTCAAGGGGTTAACTGTACCGTAGCTGCCATGAGCAAATTTGAGAAGAATTACATATACAAACAACAATGTCATGAAACGTAACCCAAGGATTTGATCAATTGTCCAACATCGACTCTCTTGTCTGTTGATAGTGATATATGTCTACAAAAATGACTTCAAATCACAGAAATAACAACTCTTACATATTTCATCCATTGTCGTGACAAAAATGTAGTTAACTGCTCCGAGCAGCCAGTAAAACTGTGAACTGTTTCATGTGAAAGTGACTGACGCAGAAGCAGCAGGGACAATGGAAAGAAGAGGTCCAACCAGGACAATGAACACAAAATGTAAAGATGAACACTAACAGTATCAACAGTTGTTCCTGCGTCAACTGTGCAAGTGAAGTTCCCATCAGGTCAAATGACCTGTTGAATGAATACTGTATGAGGAAAGCAGGTTGCCCACACCATGATTAATTCACAGTCATCATGCAACATTTTGTGGGAACAACCTTGTGCTTATTAATGCTCAGCCATCAATAATAGAGAGAGTTTCTGACAAGATCATATTTTTATAATGGATCAACAGGCGTTGAATATCTCCTCACAGAAACCTAAACAACTTCTAAACTAAACTTTGTCTTTAATCTTCTTCTTGTGATGC